GCGTGCAGGAACTTTTGCGCTGCCTGCAGTCGGAAGGTGGCCAGCTGACTCCACACGCACACCAGCCCGTGACCGCCCTCGTCCAGTGGCAGGGCCAGAACCCCAGCCGCGACCCGGTGTCCTCCACCCGACCAGAAGAAGTCGAGAACTCGCTTCTGAAGTGCGTTGACGAGGCTCATGGGGGGGTGCAGGGAGAAGAGTCGGAGCCACAGCATGGACGTCACCAGCTGATTCACCACCAACGCATTTGTCCTGAAGGTGAGGAACTTGCACAGGCGACCCCAGGTGCCCAGCCGCTCCTTCACCTTCTCCTTCAGCTCGACCCAGTTCCTCTGCGGTGGTTCCTCCTCTGGTCATAGGAACACTCCCAGGTGGTGCAGCGATGTTGTGCTCCGATTGATGGCTTTTGCCTTCTCGGGACACTCGGTCATGTCCCACGCTCCAACCATCAGGCCGCTGCACTTTTGCCAGTTCATTTTTGATGAGGAGGCTTTCGAAAAGACCTTCTGGCACTCATGCAGCAGGGCAACATCAGCCAGGGAGCGCAGGATGAGGAGGACGTCGTCGGCGTATGCCGTCAGGACCAACTTGACGCTTGGTTCCCTCAGCACCAGGCCGCTGAGTCTCCGCCTTATGAGACTCAGGAAAGGTTCTAATGCCAGGGCATAACGTTGGCCCGACAATGGGCATCCCTGTCTCACTCCTCGCTCGAATTTGACAGGGGCAGTGAGGGCGCCGTTGATCTTGATTATGCACTCCGCCTTGGTGTAGAGTAGGCGGATCGTTCGGACAAAGGCATCCCCAAAACCCAAGGTCTTGAGGGTTCCCAGCAGGTACTTGTGGTCCACTCTGCCAAAAGCCTTTTCCTGGTCAAGGGCCAGAAACGCGATTGTGATGCCCAACCTCTGGGACACCGCGATGAGGTCCCTGACCAAGAAGATGCCGTCGTGGATGGTTCGTCCGGGGATGGTGTAGGACTGGTCCCTGTTACGACTTGTGCAATCACCTCTTTCAGTCGCAGGGAGAGAGCCTTCGTCAATATTTTGTAGTCTGTGTTCAGGAGGGACACCGGACGCCAGTTTTGTAGGTGCCTCAGGTCTCCGTTCTTGGGAAGCAGAGTGAGCACCGCCCTCCTCCAAGACTGAGGCATCACCCCGGTGACTGAGGCTTCTTCCAGCACCTCTCTGTAGTCCTCCCGCAGGGATGGCCAAAAAGCGGCGTAAAACTCCCCTGTTAGCCCGTTTAACCCTGGGGATTTATTCGGGGCCAGTCCTCTTACGGCTGCGTCAAGGTCAGTCCTGCTAAGCTTTTGCTCTAGCAGCTCTTTCCCGTCTTCCCCCAGGGTGGGTAGACCACTCCATGCCTCCGCCTGGGCCGGTTCCGATGTTTCTTCAGGGGAGAACAGGTTGCCGTAGAAGTCTCTGACGATGGTCGACTTCTGCTGGAGTTCGTGCACCAGGACACCATCACCATCAAAGAGGCACTCCATGGATTTGCGTCTCCCATTCTGCCTCTCGAGGGAGTAAAAAAGCGGGGATCACGTGTCGAAGTCCGTGATGAGCTTCACCCGGGATCGCACAAATGCTCCCCTCGTCTGCTCCTCCTGTAGCCCTTTGAGACGCTCCCTATTCTCCTCGTATTCTTGGAGAAGAGCAGGGTCGCTGTCCTCGGCGAGGCGACCCTCCAAATTGAGGACTCGGGCTTCCATGTCGGTGATGTCCGCGTTCTTCAGTCTGGTGCTCCCCCAGGTGTATTGTTGGCACAACAACCTGGTGTGCACTTTGCCCATATCCCACCACTGGGCCAGAGAGTCGAACTGCGTTTTGGTTTTTCACCACTCTTCCCAGAAGTCCTCCCCCCTCCTCGTCTCTCCCTCCCCCTCTTCGTCTCTCCCTCCCCCCTCTCGCCTCTCCCTCCCCCTCTCCTCGTCTCTCCCTCCCCCCTCTCCTCGTCTCTCCCTCCCCCTCTCCTCGTCTCTCCCGACCCCACTGCTCCCGTTTCTCCATCCCTTTTCCATCCCTCTTCCTCTGATCCCCCACTCTCCGTCCCTCTATCCTCTTTCCGATCCTTTTCCCATGCATTACATCCTTGACTCCCTTACTGGCGATGTTCCACGACTACAAACGTGCTCGTGTTTGTCAAATAGAAGTCAATGTTGAACACAATCAGTATCTCTCTCCCTTGTTCTCCGTGTAACTGACTCCTGTCCATTAAGTCCTCAACCCGTGTTGAGGCGTCGGTCTGGTAGACACAACGACAAATACAAAGTTCCCCCAGTCAGCCTGAAAAGACTGTTGGGGCAAGTTTAGTCAGCGAGTAGCACCTATTATGGCCTGCATAACATACGGGGGGGTGGGTGGCCAGCACCACACTCGGCCGCCTTTGTATCCCTAGTGACGATGTTAACATACCGCACCAGGCAATCATTTGAGGCTGAGTCGGCACTGGTGTTGGCCGTGAGCGCGAATCGAACTCGCGTCGCCAGGTTTGTAACGCAGCGCGCTAACCACTACACCACCGCTATCCGCCAACAACACACAGCATCACCCACTCACTCATTCACCTACTCACCAACAACCGCAATTTGCCACGACATGGTGGTGACATCACCACGGGGCTTGTTCCAGACGAGGTGCATCTTGAGGACACGTGAAGTGCCGAAGGCTCGCTGGCAGGAGGTCACGGAACAGAGCCAGGTGCTATGGGTTGGCTGAGACGACTGGTAGATGCACCAGCTGTGTTCCCCACTGTGCCACCTCGTGTTTTAGCCGCCCAGGCGCTCCGCTCGTTGTTGTCAGCGTCGCTCGCTGTTGTTGATGGGCGACTGCCTCCAACTGCCCACTGCAGACCACAACAACACCCTAGCCCAGACAAAAACAAAGATCCCCCGTATAGCCTTAACAGACTGTTGGGGCAAGTACTGTTAGCGAGTAGCACCTATGAATGCCGGCACGGCACACGAGGGGGTGGGTGGCCAGCACCACGCCCGGGCACCCTTGTCTCCCCAGTGGTCATGTTTACTACACACCGCACTAGGTACTAATTTGAGGCTGAGTCGACCTAGAGGAGACCCAGAACCGGTTCAGATGATCGTCACTGGTGTCGGCCGTGCTTGGGAATCGAACTCGGGACGCTGGGTTCGTCGCGCAGGGCGCTAACCGCGACACCACTGCTCCCCACGACACGACCGCTCCCCACTCCCCAGACACCCACTCACTCACTCATCCACTCACTCACCACACTGCAGGTCACCTCGCTTCTATTTTTCCATTTTCTCGCACCGCTCCGCTTTGGAATTCCCTATCGCACAAACATCGTCTCTTCCCCCGAAGCTCTCATGACAATAACCTCGCTCAATTCAAGGAGCGTGTTGCCCTATTTTCCTTTACAACTTGAGCTCTGCCCTTACCCATAATATCTGAATAAGAATTAACGACGTCCATTTCGCCCAGATGATGGCAGTAGTTGTGTCTCATGTGACGACACGCAACAAGTGGAGCCATCGCGATAAGGGGGTAACGGAACGCTGAACCCGACACCAGGCCCCCTGGCTCCCTGTTCTGGCGAACATTCTGCAACCAAATATCCTCCGAGACATGCAAATTGCTCGGTAGTTTACACGTTAATTTGTTGCCAACGACATCCACCCAACCCATTATCAACCAAGGCCTCAACAATGCACCTCACCACTGACTCAAGTGCTGATCCCCCTTCCGGGATCGCCCTGCTGCTGCTGTCATTATCCTAGTATCGCGCACCACAGATCGGGAAGAACGCTGCTGCTGCTGTTCTGGGGACTGAGTGAAACAACGCGGACGTCCAGAATAAATTCCTAATTTGAGACCCAAACATCACACCTCCTCCTGGCTTTGACATTTCACCTCTAAAAAACTGGTGGAACCATTAACCGCATCAGTACATCAACAGGGCGATAAATGGAACGTTAAAGGCAAGCCATAGTAGTTCCATTGTGGCCATCCAATCCAAACTACATAGACAAAATAATAAACGTATACAGAGACTCGTAGAGATCAATAGAGACCCAAAGATACATAGACCCATGGAGACACATTAAAGGCACGGCGAAGCAGTGCGGTTGTGGCCATGCAACCCCGGCTATGAACAGCAGAACGACACGAATCCTTTGCTGAAGCCCTCTCGTCGTGGCCAGCAACAGACCTCAACATTGACATCGAGCTCCTAAACCATCTTGCTGCTGCCATGCGCAAGAATAGAATACGACAACTTTGATAGTGCTGTTTGTTGCTGGCCGCTTAGAGTTGTGGGTCTTTGTGCCTGTGCTCATTGCTTCTTTGACGCCTGCTTTTTATCGGCTGTAGCGTGACACTCCGCTAAGCATGCAGGCCCTCGTGTGATTTTGATTGGTTAGTTTAAACGAAATCTAGACATTTCGGCTGACCCTGGGATATTTGGCCAAATTATTTCGCGAAGGGAGATAAACGGAGAATCCGGAGGAAATCCATGCAGAACAGGGGGGGGGGACATTCACACTCACAGACAACGATCCCACGTGTAGCTTTAACAGAATGTTGGGGCAAATGCTGTTAACGAGCACTATGAAGACGAGAACGGTATAGGAAGGGGTGGGTGGCCAGCACCACGCCCGACCGCTTTGTCTCCCCAGTGGCGATATTTGCACAGCACACAAAGTACTCAGTTGAGGCTGAGTCGACCTAGGGGGACCCCGGTACCGGCTCAGATAATCGCCACTGGTATTGTCCGTAATCGGGACTCGAACTCAGGTGACCGGGTTCGTAGCGAAGCTTGCTAACCGCTACACAACCGGTCCCCATAAACATTGCACACGCACACACACGTAGATACGTTCTGCAGAACAGGGGGAGAACATCCACATTCCACACAGAAAGGCACCCTAATCGGGAGTCGAACCCAGGTGCTGCTGCTTGCGGTGAAGCTGCGCGAGTGTGAACGCGGCGCTACCGCTCTGCCAACCAGCAGAGCGCCATGGCTACGGCGCGGAGTGCAACTCCGTTGCGCTGTCGCGTGCGAATAGCGAGGAGAGGGAGGAGGAGTGTTCAGAATCCCGTAATCTGGCTGGGAACGCTCGCACGGCGGTAAATGTGTGGACCAGATTCTTCATAACAGATCCTTATCCAGTCTTCGGTGAGGAGTCTGTGATGAGTCGCATAGGAGAGCCACGAGCTCCCGAGAAATCGCACCTTGGGGAGCTCAGTGGGGCTTACAAGGCACAGTTCGCTCATCCCAGCCACCACTCCGACCACAGTCATCACCATAATCACCATTCATTCACCTCTTCAGCGCATCAACTCCACCCACGCTCCACCCTCACTCACCCGTCCCTCGCTCTTCTTCAACTCGCTCTAAACCTCCTTGCTCTCCACCCTGCCTTGCCCGCTCTCTCCCCCCTCCCTCTCCCCCGCCACTTCTCGATTGTACTTAAACGCGTGCCTTGGGCCGGCTCGCTGGATCGCTCCGTGCTGCTGCTGCCAAGGGGGTGAACGCCTCGATGACTCCACGCGTCCGCTCTCGCTGAAGTTTCGCGTGGACACGATTAGCCAAATAAGCACACACACAGCAGCAGCAGAAGCGGCTTATGTTCTAGAACCGTGGACAGCGGTCCCGTTCCACGACAGCATCATCGACATCGTCGGTCGACGTTAAGGTATCGTACAACTCTGTAGAACACGAACACGACCAGCTTCATTGAGTCAAGTGCTTCACTCAAAACCAGCTCAGTAGATCCCGGTTCGAGCCCCGTTCTTTGTCAAGGGTCAGCTGGGTCACGAACGCCATCACCACCATCATCATCGTCACCACACAATGTTAAACCACATCAAGCGAAGTCAGAGCGAGTTTCTGCTGCTCAAACGAGCATTGAAACATTTGTGCTTATCCCCTGCAGAGCCAGAGTGATGGCTATTATACAGCAGTAGATTGATCATGGCTGATGATGATGATAATAGGGGGATATTAAGAGTATCCATGTGTAATCAAAATAAGAGTCAACGCATTTTCGTGTCAGCACAGCGAACGGGCTACTGGCTGGGAATCTCTGAACACGCAGCGCCTTTATCACAGACGCCGCAGCTCTTGGTGCCGGATGCTACCGCTGAATCAGAAAACAACGCGGCCACCTGCCGGTGTCAACATAACGACAAAGCTTCTACGTGGAGCATGCATAGATGGTCGGGGCAAGGGCTGTTAACGAAAACTTGTTAAGGGCCGGGAAAAAACACGAAAAATTAAGTGGCCAAACACCGCGCCCTTTCGCCTTTGTCTCGCCAGTGCTGATATTCACGCACCGCTTAATGTGTCTATTTAATGCCGAGTCAGCCTAGGGGGAGGCCCAAACATCGCTTTAAAAACATTTCACTGATGTCGGCCGTGAATGACAATCGGAACTCGGGTCGCTGGACTCGTAGAGCAATGCGCTTACCACTACACTACCACTCACGACAGACACCATCACCACGCACACAGACACCATCAACACGCACACAGACACCATCAACACGCACACAGACACCGTCAACACGCACACAGACACCATCAACACAGACACAGACACCGTCAACACACACACAGACACCATCAACACACACACAGACACCATCAACACGCACACAGACACCATCAACACGCACACAGACACCATCAACACACACAGACACCGTCAACACACACACAGACACCGTCAACACGCACACAGACACCATCAACACATACACAGACACCATCAACACGCACACAGACACCATCACCACGCACACATACACCATCAACACGCACACATACACCGTCAACACACACACACACAGACACCATCAACACGCACACAGACACCATCATCACGCACACATACACCATCAACACGCACACAGACACCGTCAACACACACACAGACACCATCAACACGCACACAGACACCGTCAACACACACACAGACACCATCAACACGCACACAGACACCATCAACACGCACACAGACACCGTCAACACGCATACAGACACCGTCAACACACACACACACAGACACCATCAACACACACACAGACACCGTCACCACACACACAGACACCATCAACACACACCATCAACACGGTGCACTGTGACACCTCACGCTGCATGCTCACGATCGCGCCGGAGCTGGGAAGCTCAGCCGCTATTGATTCTGGTCAGTGCAGGATTTGGATTGGAATTCCAGGTGGTAAAGGCTTGGGCTGTGAGGTGGCCAGCAGATGGCAGTGCCGAGTGTACAGCGCGGTGTTAGGTTTTCTCCTCCCACACGAAGCCAATCTCGCATTCATGGACTTTGCCAAATATCCCGACCTCGCAGCATCCTCTTGAAAGGAGCCTTGAGACTCCGTGAGGCTTTCTTAGGTAAGGCGTTGGCATAATAGCGATTACACTGGCGCTTCTCCCGTCTGTTTAGGGGAGATGGGGATGGGTGCGCTATTGTGGGGAGAGGTGGGGCGGAGGAGTTGGGAATGATGGGAGAGATAGGAGGTGATGATCGGAGTGATAGGTGGAATGGGAGGTAAGAGGAGATCGGAGGGATGAGAGGTTGGCAGAGGGATGGGAGGCTGAGCGACGTGATGGAAGGTGATAGGAGGGATGAGATGGATGGGAGGTTAGGAGAAGCGGTGAGACGGATCGGAGGCGATGGGAGGTTACGGCAGATGAATGGAGGGATGGCGTTTGGGGGATATTGATGGGAGGGATGGCGGTTGGGGGATATTGATGGGAGGGATGGCGGTTGGGGGATATTGATGGGAGGGATGGCGGTTTGGTGGATGATGGGAGGGACGCCGGTTGTGGGATATTGATGGGAGGGACGGCGGTTGTGGGATGTTGATGGGAGGGACGGCGGTTGTGGGATGTTGATGGGAGGGACGGCGGTTGTGGGATGTTGATGGGAGGGACGGCGGTTGTGGAATGTTGATGGGAGGGACGGCGGTTGTGGGATGTTGATGGGAGGGACGGCGGTTGTGGGATGTTGATGGGAGGGACGGCGGTTGTGGGATGTTGATGGGAGGGACGGCGGTTGTGGGATGTTGATGGGAGGGACGGCGGTTGTGGGATGTTGATGGGAGGGACGGCGGTTGTGGGATGTTGATGGGAGGGATGGCGTCTGCGCTGTGTTCCCGATGGACGCAGGATCCCCCAAGCTCCCCCCCCACCTCCCGCGCCCGGTGGCCTCGTCATGGCGCGCGGAGCCGCGTACCGCTCCGCGCTGTTACTGCTGCTGCTGGGACTCGTCGCGTGCGCCAGCCCGCACCCCTGGGCGGCCCCAACACCCACGGACCCGACGCGGTAAAGGGTGCCCTGCCACCACCGACTCTCACCACTCTCACCACTCCCATCACCTCGCACACCACTCCCATCGCCTCCCACCACTCCCACTACTCCCATCACTTCCCAACTCTCCCACTACTCCCATCACTTCCCAACTCTCCCACTACTCCCATCACTTCCCAACTCTCCCACTACTCCCATGACCTCCCACCACTCCCACTACTCCCATCACTTCCCAACTCTCCCACTACTCCCATCACTTCCCAACTCTCCCACTACTCCCATCACTTCCCGACTCTCCCACTACTCCCATGACCTCCCACCACTCCCACTACTCCCATCAGTTCCCAACTCTCCCACTACTCCCATCACTTCCCAACTCTCTCACCACTCCCGTCATCTCCCATCTCTCCCATCACCTTCAATCACATCCCATCTGTCCTACCACTACCATCACTTCCTCCCTCTGCCATCACCTCACATCTCTCTCATCACCTGCAATCACTATCCAGCCTTCTCTCAACCTCCTTTAGCACTCAGTGAGATATTTAATCATATTTAGATGGAATTATTATTGTTTTTAGGAGAACACTCTATGGAGAGAGTGCTATGTACAGAGTGCTAGGGATATAGCAGCACGTCAGGTTAAGCAGAGCAGTAGTCTGCAGGAGAGCCAGACAGCTGGGTGTTGTAAAAAGATCAACACGTTCGTCAATAGTACTGTGTGTGACTTTAAAGAAACACATCAAAAAGAGATCTTTCCAGAATTGGCCTTTCATATGTATTTTTTACGGACTATGTAGAATGGACAATTCCCCAAATTTCACCTATTTTTATATATAGTTCCTTTGAAGGCCACGTACCGTAGTGAACGAATGTGTTTAGTTGTTGTTGGTTGTACTTGTGCACCACTGTCAACGTAGCAGCAGCAGCAGCATCACCCAATGGTCAGGAGAGTGGCGTAGACACGGTGAGGCAGGAGCGGCTGCGCTGAGCGGGACGCGAGTTCAGCATGGAGGAGGGAGGGGGAGGAAGGGGGAGGGGGAGGGAGGGGGAGGGAGGGGATGGGGGCCGAGACGGACAGTGGAGCGGTCTCCACGAGTCCAGCGACCAGGGAAAGAGAAGACCTAATAGCAGATGGTGGGAGACTGTCGGGGCAGGTCTATGGGTCTCTGTGAGTCTGTGGGTCTCTGTCTGAGTCTATGGGTATCTACGGATCTCTGCGTGAGTTTGTGGGTCTCTGTTGTGAGTCTGTGGGTTCCTGTGTGAGTCTGTGGGTCTCTTTGCGAGTCTATTGGTCTCTATGTGAGTCTATATATCTCTGCGTTAGTCTATGGGTCTCTGCGTGAGTCTGTCGGTCTCTGTGTGAGTTTATTGGTCTCTATGTGAGTCTATAGATCTCTGCGTGAGTCTATGGGTCTCTGCGTGAGTCTGTGGGTCTCTGTTGTGAGTCTGTGGGTTCCTGTGTGAGTCTGTGGGTCTCTGTGTGAGTTCATTGGTCTCTATGTGAGTCAATGGGTCTCTGTGTGAGACTGTGGGACTCTGTGTGAGTCTATGGGTCTCTTTGTGAGTCTGTGGGTCTCTGTGTAAGTCTAAGAGCAGACGGTGGAATGAGGTTCCCAGGGCCGAGCTTGGAGATCGCTGCGCGCTTCCTGCGAAGCAGCTGCGCGACCTGGCAGAGGGGAGATAGATGGTTATTCTTAGCTCTTTCGGTAAAGTCACGTTCAAAGGAAACAATAAAATATATAAAACAATAAAAATTCTCACGACGTTTCGACCATAACACAAACGGTCGTCATCAGGTGTGACGGTTTGCATTAATTAATTACCGAAAGAGCTAAGAATATGAATTACTGCAGTCACGAAAGCTTTAAATCGAGATAGATGGTTGTTAGAGGAGGAGGTGGTGGTGGTCGTAGCGGCTTTGGTCACGTTGGCGTCATTTCTGCTCTTTGATTGACAAGCAAGCGACTTAGTTTTTACAGAAGCTCTTGATCAGCGGGCTCATAAATAGGCGTGCAAACGACCTTGTAAACCCAAATGAGCGGAGAGAGAAAGAGGAGGGAGGTGAGCGCATTGAGCTACGACACTAAAATGGATGTCGAGGAGAGAGCCATAGAAGGGGGGCAAGAGAGTTTCTCTCTGCGCTGCTCAATGGAGATCTCACTCGGCGTGAAATGTGTCCGCGCGCGCTCTCATCACGCGGAGCGAGGTGATTGGGCGGAAGGCACGCGGCCGGGATTAGGGTTGAGAGCGGCGGGAAGAGCGGATCTCTCGTGAATCATTCCCCTAATCCTGCGCGCGCGATGCCGTCGCGATAAACACAGCCAGTACACCTAAAGCGCCTGGCTTACATACAGATATGACACATTATCATAGTAATAATACAATTATTACACCCCCACCCCCGATGCTATTCCAGCTGTGCTGTCATTGACGTCATCTTGTGATGAGATACAGCAGCAAGCAATGTCTGTTCATAACTCGCAGAGAGCAGTGGACCACTCTGTATTAGGGGAACTGTCCCGCTCATGATCAACATCAGTGACGAGTATCTGAACCTGTCCTGGACCCTGGGTCTCCGCCAGCTGGAACTCATCTTCAAATGAATACCTGGTGCGGTGCGTAAACATGAGCACTGGGGAGACAAAGGCGACCGGGCAGGCGTTGCGCCTAGCCCCACCACCCGCTTCATAGGTGCTCGCTGTGCGCTGTGCGCAGGACGGAGCGCCACGCGGACGGGCTGTTCACGAGCGGTTACCGCCACGTGCTCGGCCAGATGTCTGCGCGCAGGTACATGGACGGGCTGGTGGCGGCGCGCCTCGGGTAAGTGGGGGGGCTCAGCTCGGGGTCTGTTGCTTCGCTCGCTCGCCCAGGGCGCGTGGTGCTTAGTCACGAGGTTGGAGGGTTTCAGCAGGTGAGACGATGCTGCTGCTGCTGCAGGTAAATCCCAACTGAGTAATGTGCAGTGTTATTTGTCAGCATTGGGTGTTTGTTTTCGCTATTGGAGGAAAACGGCAAAGACGGTGGAAACCTATCCAGAATAGGGAGAGAATATACAAAACCACGCACATATTTACACATTGACTTGAACAGATTGTTGAGGCAATTGCTGTTAGCGAGCACCTATCAATGCCGGCACGACACACGAGGGGGTGGGTGGCCAGCACCACGCCCAGCCGCCTTTGTCTCCCTAGTGCTGATGTTTACACACTGAACAGGTACTCATTTAAAGCTGAGTCCACCTAAGGGAGGTCCAGTACCAAGACGGTTTAAGATATGAATCACTGATGTTGATCATGAGCGGGAATCCAGCTCGGGTCGTCGGCCTCGTAGCGCGCTCGCCTTCACGCTCCCCCAATCGCATACGCACACACACTCTGCAGGACAGGGAGACAACACACAAACTCCACACAATAAGGGCGCCCGAGTCGGGAGTCGAACCAGAACGCTTCTTACTGTGAGGCACGAGCGTCACCACCGGGTCCCTGGCCCAGTACGATGACCATTGATGAGATGTTACGTGAAAAAATGTTAAAACATTAAAACATATAATATATGTCTTTGTCTCTTAACTGTGCTTCTTAAATGTTATTGTGAGTCTTAATGTTAGATTATAAACACTTAGGCAGTGCTCTTCAGTTGCCTGGGTGGAAGTGGGCGAAGTTTTTCCCAACCCTGGCCAGCTGGCTCAATCGCTTAATAAACGAACTCACTCAGTGAGGCTTCTCAGCGCTGCTGGGCAATGTGTTGGGGAACCGGTTGGGACATCCACGCCCTCTGATGTGCGTCGTGGCCGGTACCTGGACACCCCCACACCCCCCCCCCCCCCCCCCGGCGCTGTGTGCAGCTACGCCATGAAGACGAGCGAGCCCGTGTTCGGTAAGCGCCAGGCTGATGCCATCTTCACCAACGGCTTCAGCCGCTACCGGCACAAGCAGGCGGCCAGCAAGCTGCTGCTGTCCCTGCTCGAGAGCCGGCGCGGGTGAGGAGGGGGGGGGGGCACAATTCTCTTTTCTACAAAAAGTTTTGCTGGCTGGAGAGATGGACGGACGGCCACGTAAAAGGACGTGTGAGCTGTTACTTAACAAAATATTTAAAAAAACTCAACACACTCATCAGCAACAGTGTGTTATTGAAAGGAAAATATATCATAGGCAACGTTTCGGGCAATCACCTTTCTTAACAACACAAATAGAGGCCACTACCTCTCTGGCCGCTCTATGTGAAAGGCCATTAGCTTTCAAATAAAAGTTACTGACGAATGTGTTGAGCGTGGTTGTTATTTGTCAATACGCAAGTCTACGGTGTGCCTATGACTGGGTCTCTATGCAGGTCGAAGTCCGCGTGCCAAATCTGCCTGTCTGGGCACGCGCGGGAGGAAACCACAGAAGGCTCCCCATTAACGTACCGGCTTGCCGGGATTGACGTGCCGCCTTGCCCTCCTCTCCCTCCTCTCCCTCCTCGCCCTCCTCTCCCTCCTCCTCGCAGCCGCAAACATCGCCTGCTCCTCGACAACCCGCCGCCCGTCTACGGGTCCAGTGACACGGGCGAGTTCCAGAAGCTCAAGGAATTCATACAGATCACGCTGCAGGTACCCAGGTGCACCCAGTCTGGCACAAGCGCCCCTCTGACGGCCCTGGCACTCGGTGGCCGAGGAGAGTGGCTCTCATTGGCAATTGACTTTCCGACCCATAGCCGGTCCAGCCTGCTCCATTGTATAACTCTGGGGACGGCATCGTAAACTCACCAGGATACTTAATATTTAAAACTGCACGTCACTCGCCAATCCGGCGTCTTGGTAATGCCTCAGTGACGTCACTGGGAGTTGTCACCTCGGTCTCGTTATCCCAGCCGGGGTGCTTCGGTGGGAGAGCGAGCGACTCGCAATCCTGAGGTCACGAGCTCGAATTCTAGTTGGGGGTTGACTCAGCCAAATATTCCTGCAAGCGGTTGATAAAATTGCTACCACTTTGTGGGAAAGTCAATATTGTCCTATAGATAGACTCACCCCGCAATGGGACTTTGGAATGGTCACCACTGGCTCTGCAGAGCTGTACACGGGAGGTGAGCACCAATGCGCCCAGGTTCGTTGGAGAGCATGAAGTCTCCCTGCGCCCTTCACGTTCACAACGACTGACCGCGGCAACCAGCCGCAGCAGAGCAGCTCCAGCCACATAGAGCCACATCGAGCCCTCCGGCAATCCACTGCTCAACGAAGGCCCCCCCCCCGCCGTGCCGTGCCAGAGGGGCGGGGCTGGTTGGCCACACTTCACGCGGGTTGCTTGGAGCGGCGAGTGGGGTCGCGAGGAACCAGGAACGGGGGTGGGGGGGCGGTATCACTCGCTGCTACTGATGAGAGCTGTGACCGGGAGTCGAGGTCAGGTCGCGCGGTTCGTCGCGCTAATCCACCGTCCGGGTAACGTTGTCAACGTTCTTCCGTGCACTTGAGTCGTTCGCAGTGACTGTTCTATGGGGAGACTGACACTGTCACAGTAATGTGGAAGGGTTGCCGGGTTCTGACTTAAAACTTTCGTGACTGCAGGAATTCATATTCTTTGGTTCTTTCGGTAAAGTTAAGTAAAAAAAAACTTTACCTGGCAGCCCTTTAATTGGTGGAAACGCACCACCAACGCCGGCCATCGCCCATCACTCGCATTAACATTCGCTGCCCCGCCCATGCTGCGAACCCTTAGGCTACGCCCATTTTAAACCTTTATAAACAGTTTACCTTTAGAGCCTAACCCTCTTTTCCTGATGACGACCACTAGTGTTGCGATCGAAACGTCGTGGTTATTTTTTATTTTAATATTTGTTTTATTCTACGTGACTTTACCGAAAGAATCAAAGAATCTGAGTTGCCAGGTTCATAGCGCAGTGGGAGGAAGCACAGCGGCTTGAAGGGCAATCGGTGGGAGCGCCGTCTCCTCACCACCGCGTGGCTGCTGCTGCCTTCCTACTCCTCGTCCGTGGTTCCTCCCCTGAGTCGTCTCCGCGCTCTTTCTCGCTTGCAGCAATGCGGCACGAGTGGGCATCGTTTTCGTTGTCATGGTTCTGTGTGCACATTTCCCTTTGCAGATGTCGGGAATGTAAAACCCAGCACGTGCCTTGCAGAACACTCAGACCCGAGGATAACACAACAAATTAACATCATCAACAACAACAACAACCAGAGGCATCAAACATCAGCACCAGCGCTGCGCGGCTGTGCCTGCGTGCGTGATGATCTCAAGCAATCTCTGCACGTCGACCATCTCCTCTCATCACCCTGCCACGACGACGCCTCGATGACTCGGTTATGCCTGCCGGCGCAGAGAATCTGCACCGCCTTAAAACTCAATACATTCGTCTAGAGCGCTGTGGCATTAAATATATACAATCCACGATGTTTCGCGCAATAGCTCTTCTTCACAACACATGGAGGGCCATTGCGCGAAACATCGCCTATTATATATTTCCGATGAAGGAGGTCACGGTGTTGTTCTTGACATGGGACGTGGCGAGTTTATTGGCTGTGCTTGTGCACCACTGCCAACGCAGCAGCAGCGGCGTCACCAGACCACGTGTTCTCACGCACCATTCGATGCGCACATCACCCATAGTCATCGATAAAAATGGATGCGTCGTTATAGCCCTTTGCAGCGCTCCTGCACCTGCGCGTCCAGGCTGCCGTACCGCAGTGACGCCACGAGAGTGTACGAACGCGTCACACCAGGGACATCACTGCATCTCTATAGTGTTTCGGTATTAGTAACGCACGGCCCTCAATTTCCATGTCTCCTAACTTGCTGCTCTTAGTCCCCATGCATCGTGTGCCTGTGATCCAACGCTGTGCTGCAGGCAGCGGCGAGGGTTTGTGAATCACCGCACGAATGTTGTCAAGCTCCCTTCCCGTGGGCGTCGAGGAGGAGCCGTGCCGTGGCTCGGCAGGAGGCAGCACAGCACGCGTGGGCTTTCTCCGGGCGCTTCGCTTTCCTTCCACATTTAGAGGTCCATTCATTGGCCGACAACGCCTTCATATATAGAGGACCGCAGAGCTTGGGGAGGAGGGGGGTTTGGCTGCTGCTGCCTTCTTGCTCGTCTGTGGTTCCTCCATCCTCGCGCCTCTGAGTCGTCGTCTCTCATCGAGAGCGCGCGACTCCTCGTTACTAGTTATTATTCCAGTACTGCTGTTAATATTATTATTACTTCTACGTGGTGCCGTCCCTCGCTGATCTATCCCCCTGCAGCCCCTCCCCTCGGTCGCTACAGCCCCGCCCCTTCCGATGGAATAGACACAAACCATTCAATCGTTTTCCTGGTTCTTTCGGTAAAGTCACGTAGAATGAGAATAAAACAATAAAACAAAATAAGACAATACATTCTAATGACGTTTCGGCCACAACACAAGTAGCCTTCTTCAGGTGAAGGAACAGAACTGTCAGGACGACAGCGCTTCAATTGTTTCCACATCCCAATTGAAGCGCTGTCGTCCCGACAGTTCTGTTCCTTCACCTGAAGAAGGCTACTTGTGTTGTGGCCGAAACGTCATTAGAATGTATTGTCTTATTTTGTTTTATTGTTTTATTCTCATTCTACGCGACTTTATCGAAAGAACCAAGAAGATGAATCCTTGCAGTCACGAAAGTTTTAAATATAAATTAATTCGATCGTTGTGCTCTCTACATGGCATTTAGTGGAGCGGTAGCTCGAGATTCGGCGTTTAGCTCCAGCAGCGTTCTCCACTGCCAGGCCCGCGGGCCCCTGGCGGCCCCTGGTGGACTTTAGTTCGGCCCCTGACAATTCACAAAATGGGAAATCATCCCCATCGTGCTGCTGTCAAACCCAACCGTTTCAAATGCGTGGCGGCCCTCACACTGATGATATCTCAACGGCGACAAGGTGCGAGCTGTGTGTCTGGGGTTTGGGTGCAAATCCTTGAGTCAGGTAAACACAACCAACGTCGTTTTTGTGTAAAATAGTTCTCGGTTTAATACCATGTGGCGTGGTACCGTGCGTGCTTCGCGGCAAGAAGAACCTGGGCTCGATTCCGGGTTCGGGCTCCTGTCTATCTGTACATTCCATGTTCCCCCCACTCCCTTGGCTTTGCTCCGAGTTCGCCAGTTTCCTCCCATAGCTAAACAACACCACACAAATGTAACCGGAAACATACTTCAAATTACTCCATTGATATCACACTGCAGCAGCAGCATTCCCCATCTGCTGCGAAGACTTGGCAGGACCCTCCCGAGAAAAGAGCCTCGAGACTCAGCGAGACGCAAGAGTTATCTTTCTCAGCTTCCCAACCGCTTGAAAAAGTTCACACATTCGCCCTGTTGCTTGCGCTGAATCAATGCTGCTGATAGGATGCACTCCCAGGAGGTCGTACGGCTGCTGGAATGTGGAAACAATTACTTTTAGATATGATGGCATTGTGAAAATTGTTTAATATTCTATTGTTGGCATGATTGTTGTTCCTTGTTTGTTTAATCCCTTACCCCTCCCTCGCGATTCAGGGTCTCAATTCGGTGTGAACATTGTGATGATTGTAGCCGAAAAAGACGTCAATTATTTAAGGTGACGCGCTCGGGAGCCGATGTTATTATTCAGTGCATCGATACTCATCGATAGTCATACTCTGATCGTGCAACGCAACTCCCTTTGTTTCACTTCTGTGCACTCATGAATAATAAACGAGTTGTCAACCAATCACTTCTGCCTCTGAGTCCACTGCTGCTCATCTTGAGCCGTGCCCTCCTGCTCCTCCTCCCCTCTCTGACCGTCTTGGTGGGGACTTCTGTCTCGGCCTCCCTCCCCTCTCCCGCTCCTCTCGCGTCTCCCACGCATCCTCCCATTGACTCGACTCTGCCTCGCGCGATGCGTACCACGGCTACGAAGGTTTCACAAAAGTCCCAATGCCTTTATTTACCCAAGAAATCGCTCTTCTTTCAGAAGGGAGCTGCTACGTTGCGATGTTTGGCCAACCCCAATCGTGATGAGTTGGGCTTCGTATGGGAGGATACCGTGGAACACGCAGCACAGCACCGCTGTAGTGACCAGGCTCGAGCCTCCTTCGCCTTCACGATCCATTGACACCGGGCGCATTCAGCTGGTGGAAATTCCACTTTCCTATGGCGTGGGCGAAGAACAACCAAACTGTTTTCACTTTCCACAAAGCGGTACTTATTGTATCGAACGCTGTATGGAGGGTTGATGATCGGGCTGCGTCATTCGGCAAACAGGATTTTAATTCGCGACCTTTCCAAATGTGACTACTAAACTCTGGTCAAAGCGTTGAATTGATTGGACTTTTTGCGAACCGCCCACTCTGCCGATGAACCACCCGGCCGAACATAGCGTCCATACGAGGTTGATGCGATTGAAGAACGAGCTGACCAGGTGAGAAGGCGCATAGCTCGGTGGGGGTGAATGCTGCAAGTAACCCCGCTCCTTGAAGAAATATAAATAATCATTTAACGATGATTAACCCGACGCCGCCGTGTAAACCACCGTGATGATGATGACGTGGTGGCGGTGGATGATGATGATGATGATGATTAGAGGCGATGGCAGGAGAGGTGTGGGTGGGGGGAGCGATCTGCGGTAATGATGCCTCAAGGGGCGTCACGTCCGTGCGGCTCCGCTCCCCTGGGGAGCCGCGCTTCTGCTGCTGCTGCGTCTGAGTGAAGAGGCATGGGACCCAGGCGCTCCCAGCAGGGCCATGACCAACCGGCTGGCAGTGGTGGTGGTGGTGGCTACGCTGCACTTGGCTATCTGTGATCCAGCAGTACGGAGGCAGCAGCAGCGAGGTTTGGTGGATCATCGCACAGATGGCTCTGAAACTCCCTTCTCGTGGGTGGGCGCCGAGGAGCAGCCGTACCCTGTACGGGGGGAATCGAGTGCTGCCCCCTCGCGCAAGGCGTGGGTTGACTCCAGGTGATCCGGTTTCCTCCCAACGTGAATACTGGGTAAAATAATGACCCGCAAACTCTCACATTGTGTCGAGGCTTCATTACTCTCCTTGAACCCATTTGCGTTTCACCGTAATTATGCGGGTAGGATCGTAACTCCTCGCACTTGCCACAGCCATATCACGAAGTATACTGGATGTGCACTGTTGGGTGCGTCATAATCTCGCCGATCCGGACAAAGCCGGCCGAAATAAAGCCCTGGACCGGGTAGCTGCAACAGCTTGGACTGTCGTCTGGCACTCCCTTCCCCAGTAATCATCGCTGTCGACTCCCTACTGAGCTCCAGTGGCCAGTCGCATGAAACCCCGTAAGGGATTATAATCTGCCTGGAAGGAAGTCACTGATGGTAAATACGAGCCAAGAAAATAATGTTGCACTTGACACCAAGCTTCAGGACCGTCCTTTGCCCATCTGGCCAGGATTGGCCGCGCGTGTTTGTGGATTGTGTATGAATGTTCAACTTGTGGTATGTGTATGAATGTTGAACTTGTGGTATGTGTATGAATGTTGAACTTCTTCCGTACCGTGCATAGCCAGCCGTGTTCATATGAGGCGTCCCTGTGTATTTCTCTGGACAGCGCCGTGAGATGTCTTCGCATCCAGCCGCTGGGTCAATGAACATGGCACTGACCGTTTGTTTGTCTGAAAATAACTCTCAAACCACGGCCATGGGTCCCATCACGGATGCATTATTTGGCGATGCTGCGGTGGCAGTGGTGCACAAGCACAATCCATACATGCATGTGCTATGAAGAAGGGCCGTTGCCCGAAACGTCGCATATCATTATTTGAAGGCCACATGGTCATTGACACAAAAATGGCATATTTGTCTCCATAATTATCATAATCCACTTAGTGATGCATTTCTGTGCCCAATTATCATTACAAATGGGATTAGAGAAGCTATCGTGGTATGTAAATGTGTTGTCGTAATTATCAGAGGGAGCGATGCTCTCATGAATCGCTTGCCCTGACGTCCGACCCGCAAGCTGTGATGGCCACGCTCTCCAAAGGCAAAGATCCACCGGCTTGCATAGACTCAGAAGCTGTATTTAGACTGGTGGAATACGAGGAGCTATGAAGATCTTTTTCACAAATGTCCAGTAGCATAGACTGTTTGGGCAACACGATTGGTGAACACCTTCCAAGGCCGACACGGAACATGCACGATGCAATTGCGTGGCCGAAACCACGCTCGACCGCCTTTCACTCCCCAGTACTGATGTTCACACACCGTGGTATAGGTTCCCATTTGAGGCTCAGTCGCACGGGAGGAGGTCTAGGAGCACGTTCAGATAACGCTTTCCATTGTGAGCCCTGGCAGGGAATCGAACTAGTTCGTATCGACGTGTGCTAACCACTGCGCCTCTGCTAATAAAAATACAAAGATCCCTCCCATAGCCTTAGCCGACTGTTGGGGTAACTGCTTTGGTGAGCACCAATGAAGGCTCACACAGCACACGACACCACTACACTCGACCGCACCATGCAGGTACTAATTTAAGGCTCAGTCGACCTAGAGGAGATCCAGAGGACCGGTGCAGATATTCGTCACCGATCTTGAACGTGAGTGGGAATCGAACTCGGGAAGCCGAGTTCATAGCGGAGCGCATATGTGCACACACGCGCAAAGGATGTAAGAATATTCATGAGCGGATTTCAGGCACTCTCGTCTTGTATGCAGATTGCTGTCACTAGAATCTAGATATACGACCTTTATGAGCAGGTAAGAGCCCTTTGAGAACACGATTCTCTCGTGATGATGACAGTGATGATGATAATTCTTTTAACAGAGCTGCCCTTTATTACCAAACATAATCAACTGTGCACTTGTAGAGAATATAATGCACAATATAAATACAGAGACAATTCGCCTGCTGCACATTTCAGTCTCTCCACACAATTCCATCTGAAAACTATGCACTCCTAGAGGCCGAGTGGCTGATGGCACGTGTAAAAAAATGCAAATATTGTTTCACGTGGAGGGACAGATGTGTGAAACAGGCGATTTGTCTGATTGCTCACATTTTAACCTAGTCAGATCCCAGCGCAAGATCTGGCCAGTGCTTGGATGGGCGACCACCATACATGCTAGGCAATCATAGGATGCGTCGAAGGTGTGCTTAAGTTGTGGTCAGCAGTACTCGCTCAGAGGCGCCAGAAGGAACCACACACGAGCGGGAAGGCAGCACCATCAGCCACGCGGTGAGCTGGCGCAAAACAATTGCTCGAGCTCTGCGGTCCTCTACATATGAAAGCGTTCTTGGCCAATCAATTAGCGTTCATGCACGGTGGAGGAAACCGGGGCACCCGGTAGGAAAAAATCCACGCGTGCAAGGCGGCAAACATTAATATGGAACAGATGGAGATTAGTTAACGTTTGCTGGACTGCCTTCTCCTGGCGAGCCG